TTTTTTTTTTTTTTTTTTTTTTGGTTACCCTAACACTCCTAGCCTAGCCCTGTCCTTTCTGAGATGATGGAAATGTTCTATATTTGTGTTGACAGTAAGTACAGTAGCCACTAGCCATATGGAGTTAGTGAGCACTTACAATGTGGCTACTGTGACTGAAGAACTGTACTTTTAATTTAATTTAATTTAAATAAGTTAAATAGTTACATATGGCTGATAGCTATCATATTGGACAGTATAGCTCTAGACATTTATATGTGTTGAGGCTAGGTATAAATAAAAGCATAAAATAAAGAAAAATAGCTTGAATCTGATATGTTTTGCTGTGCATATTCTCAACAACAATGAAATAAATAAAATTTAAAGAAAAATAGCTTGATATTTTATGCTTTGCAAAACATTATCCCTACTATCTCATTCAAACCTCAAAATGTTCAATAAAGGAGATATGACAGGCATTGATAGTCTCATTTTATAGATTAGGAAACTAAGTCTCAGGGATGTTGAAAGACCTGTCCCATTCAATTGGCCTGATACCTACACCAAAACAATGTTCTGCAGCCTACATTGGTGAGTAGAAACTGGATACTTAAAAGCTTGCAAGCAGCCATCTAGATACGATGGATGGGTCTCTCCTTATCCAGAGCAAAGAAGAATGAAGAAAACTAAAGACACATGGAAACAATTAGTCTAAGGGACTGGCAGGCCATGTGATCCTCAGCCTATTTGACCATGAGACCAGAATTAGATAGTACCCAGCTACCACTGTCAGCCACTCGGAGGGGGATCTATGTAGGAGATCCTGGATAGAGTGGGAGAACAATGTGGAACAAAACTCAAATTCTTAAAAAAAAAAGGCAAGGTTTGTTGGTCTGATAGAGCCTGGTGAGACTCCTGAGACTATGGCCCCTAGCTACCCTTTAGGTCTGGAATTGAACTCACCCCTGTGACTTCCAGCCAAACAATAGACAGGCATATGGGGTGAACATTTATATCAGGTGGATACATTCCTTGGAGCCATCGATCATGGGAGTACAGAAGGGCAGTGTTTGCACAGGGAGACAGCTGGGGTGGGGGCAGGAAAGAAAGGGAAGGACACAGGAAGAGGTACCTACAGAGAGGAAGTGGGAAGAGAGCTATTACATTGTGAAGAATTGCAGTGAATGTCATGAAACAAAATGTGTATAAATTGCTGTATGGACAATGAATTTGTTCTGTAAACTTTCACCCAAATCACAATAAAATTAAAAAAATATGTAAGACCTGTCCTAGATCATAAATGAGAGGTCAATCCAGTGGCATAGAACCTAAGGCATTTGACTGCTAACCAGAAGGTTGGTGGTTCAAACCCACCAGGCCACTCCTCAGAAGGAAGACTGGACAGTCTACTTCTGTAGAGATACCACCTTGGAAACTCAAGGAGGGGTCACTATGAGTCATATTGACTCAGCAGCAGTGAGGTTTTTTTGTTTTGTTTTGCTTTGTTTTTTAAAGCCAGGACCAGAGGAGGACAGATTTCTGGACTTCCAAACCCATCCTTCTTCCTTTCACCTGTTGTGAAAAGCTTTATATACATGGGAGCATCTTGCATTGGCCCTCTGGTTCCTTTAGGGGTCTCTGTGCAGGCTCTCTCTCAGTCCCTGGCTGTCCTCCTATCTTCTCCCACCCTTCTCTCCTCCCACCTTCCACTCTGCCACTCACCTGGAAGAGCTCCTGAACCTGTGCGTCCACCCACTGCTCCATCTCCAACCAGCGCTGGAGCTGCCCCAGGTCGTACTTCACTGTTAGCCGGCTGGTTCTCCGGGACCTGGGCACTTTGGAGGGGTCAGGGTGCGGCTTTGACTCTGAGTCTGTGGATGATGTCCTCCTCCTCCCAGAAGCCCACTGGACCATTTTACTTGGATTCTCCTTGTCAGAGTTGGGAGATGTGCAGGAAGTAGGGTTTGACGACAGCATGGAAGGGTTGGCCTGGGCAAGAAGCTGGAAAAAATCACCAGTCAAGGCAAGGACACAGAGGGAAGTGAGGAGATTGAGAACAGAGGGAGAGACCAGCAAGGGAAAAAGGAAAGAAAGAGGGAGGGACAAGGCTCCCTGGGAGGGACAGGGGTCAAAGATCAATAGGCCTTTGTGCTGGGAATGCTAATCTCCAGGGCCTCCTAGCTGCCAGTGAGTGGCACTTCAGAGCCTTGCTGAGCCTCTTTTCTGCAGCTGTTGTTGTTATTTGCCGTAGAGTCGCCCCAACTCATAGCGACCCCTCCTTGAGTTACCAAGGCAGTATCACTACGGAAGTAGGATTGCCCAACCTTCCTTTCTGCAGCTAGTGGGGCTCAAAGTGATACAAAGGCAGATGAGCAAAGGTCAAGAGGGTGCCATACCCTAGGAGGAGAAAGGAGCCCTAGATCCTGAGGGGTACGTGGCTCCAATTGGTGGTCTGTGGCTGACACTGGGACAGGACCTGAGTCACATTCACCTGAGATCCTCTGAAGCCCACCTTCCTGGGACCAGGTCCATTCTAGACCTTAAGAAGCTGTGGTTAGATGGATCCTAAAAGAGCAAAGTCCCTGCCTTCCAGCAGCTCCCACCCAAGTGTGACATTGCTAGAGGCAGAGTCTCAGGCTGGGGGATGAGGTTGAAGGGATGATTATCTCTGGTCCTCATGGGCCAAGTGCTCCCTTGTGTCTGAATGTGACCTGCCTTTAGGAGTATGTGAAGGGAGACATTCTCCTCTGTCTGGTCCTGTGTGCCTGTCTATGCTTATCTACCACGCTTAGGAAATCACGTTTTATATCACATGAGCCTCCCCTGACTCAGGTTCTTCCAGATACTGGGAAGAGAAAACCTGCAGTCTTAAATTATACCAAGTATAAGTAACACTTTCAGACATACTTGCATTCTGAAGGAAAGGTGTTTTTGTTTGTTTATTTAGTCCTTTCTGATTTCATATTACTTGGTTCCACAATCAACACCAATGGAAGCAGCAGTCAAGAAATCAGAGGATGTTTTGCATTGGGCAAATCTGCTGCAAAAGACCTCTTTACAGTGCTGATGAGCAAAGCTGTCTCTTTGAAGACTAAGGTTTGCCTAGCTCAAGCCAAGGAGCTCTGTTAGCTTAGTGCCTAAGATACTTGACTGCTAACCAGAAGGCTGGCGGTTCAAACCCACCAGCCACTCCTCAGAAGGAAAATTGGGCAATTTACTTCCGTATTGATACTGCCTCAGAAACCACACAACAACCCAAGCCAATTGCTTCACATGCATGTGAAAGCTGGACAGCGAGTAAGGAAGACCGAAGAAGAGTTGATGCTTTTGAGTTGTGGTGTTGGTAAAGAATACTCATAGTACCATGGACTGCCAGAAAAACAAACAAATCTGTCTTGGAAGAAGTGCAGCCAGAATCCTCCTTGGAAGCAAGAATGGTCAGACTTCATCTCACCTACTTTTGTTCATGTTGTCAGAAGAGACCATTCCCTGGAGAAGGATATCATGCTTGGTAAAGTGAAGGGTCAGTGAATAAGGGGAAGTCCCGCACATACTGAATTGACACAGTGGCTGCAAGGATGGACTCAGGTAAAGCAAGGATTGTGAGGCTGGCACAGGACTGAGCAGTGTTTTGTTCTACTGTACATAGAGTCGCTATGTGTTGGAGCCGACTAGACAGCCCCTAACAACAACATTTAGTCCTTCCTAAAACTTTTTTTTTAAGTTACAGAACAAAAGAACACTATTTTTTTTTAAAAAAAGAGTAACAGTTCAAAGGACAGACAAATGAAAAATGATAGTGTCTCTCCTCTCAACGGCTCCATCCCCAAATTAGTATTTCTACACACCAATTTTTTTTCTGTAAAAAGCACCTTTATTTTAAAAATAAATAAAATGAAAAGAAGCTTTATTATTCCACTTGGTCCATGGCATCCAGGTCCTACTTCATCCATCTTGGGCGGCCTCTGAACATCCTAGAAGAGGGTGTGGCATCACACTAGTTTTGTGTCAAGCCATGCTGGGCACCTTGAGCTTCTCCAGACTCAGTCTCTGGGACCTTCTTCTCAATCATTCCATTTCTGGGATGATTAATTTTAATACAATTTTTGTGTATGTGTGTGGTTAGCTTCTTACTGTTGATCAACCATAAGCTCCCAGATCTGTCACAATTATTCCAACAAAATAGAGGCAGTTGTCAACCACCTGGTCAACCTTCATCTGCAGCATCCTACATCTACCTCTCTCTGGGCTTCTGTTTTGATTGTGACGATGTGGCCTTAGAAAGTGTGGGCCACTTCTCCTGCGAGTTGATGAAGGAGAACTCCAGGTACCCAGCATCTCTTGTAGATGCAAAATCAGCTCGATGCCACTCCCTATTCCAGTATGGGCAGAAGCCATTCAAGATGAGTGAGGTAGGACCCTGGATGCCATGGAGACACCGTGACCCTTGAGAAGAACCTGAACCAGGTCCTTTGGGATCTGTATGCCATGGATTCTACTTACACAGTCACCCTTAGGCTGGCCAGTCCCCACGCTGGGCTGGGCAAGTCTCTTAGAAATGCTTACCCTCAAGCATGATGAAGAGACACCAGAGCTCAGCGGCATTTGAGAGAACCCTCTGCATTCTCTTGGCATCTGGGCTTCTGCCTGATGCTTTCCCTCTGACCAAGAGGCAGCTTTTTTTAAAAAAAAAAAATTAATTTTTTTATTGTGATTTGAGTGAAAATTTACAGAGCAAATTCACTTTCCATACAGCAGTTCACATATACTTTGTCTCATGACATTGACCATAATTTACCACAATGCAACAGCTCCTCTCCCACTTCCACTTTTCCTTGTGTGTATCTATCCCTCCATGCACTCCTGTCCCCTGCACATAAGCAGCCCTTCTTTCTCCCATGATTGTTCTCTCCAAGGAGTATATTTACCTCAGGTAAATGTTCAACTCCTATGCCTGTCTTTTGCTTGGCTGGAAGCCACAGGTGTGGGTTCAATTCCAGACCTGACGGACAGTTAGGGGCCATAGTCTCACTGGTTCCACCAGGCTCTATCAGACCAGCAAACCTGGTCACCTCTCCCTTTTTTTCTCTCCAAATGATTTTGAGTTTTGTCCACACTGTTCCAAGAGGCAGCTTTTTAACAACCCTGGAGCTTCTCCTTCACCAACTCGCAGAAGAAGTAGCCCACAACTTCAAAGAACATATCATCACAGTCAAAATAGAAGCCCAGAGAAAGATAGCTATAGGAGGCCATTGATGCAGGTTGATCAGGCAGTTGACAACAGCCTCTATTTTGTTGGAATAATTGTGACAGATCTGGGAGCTCATGGTTGGTCAACAATAAGAAGCTAACCATATACATACACACAAAAAAAATGATGTTAAGTAGTCCCAGAAAAAGGTGACCAAGAAGATGGTTTCAGAGATTGAGTCTGGAGAAGAGGTTGGATGGTGGCCGGAGGCTGGAGGTAAGGAATCCCTGGGTCTGTTCTGTCTAAGCACTGTTGGAGGAAAAGACAAACCTGCTCAGAAACCCAAGGAACGTTCACTATGAGTCCAATTGACTCGATGGCAGTGAGTTTGGCAGGACTTTCAAGTGCACTTGTCCTGCATACCAATTTTTGTTTATATGTTTCTTTTTAGGTCTTGTAGTGATTGTCTTTATTATATTAAATGTGCTTCTAATGTATCAACTTCAATTATCATATGTTGACTCCTAAAAGAGAGCCTTTGGAAATGGTCAGTGAAAGAGTTTCTCATGATCAGGAAAAGGATCAGAAAAGTCACTAGATTTTGCTCATTCATTAACTCATTCATTTAACAAAGATTATATGAGCTTTTCCAGTAGGCCAAGCATTATGTTCAATCACCAATCCTTTCCCTTCTAGAATTTACAGTCCAGTGTGAAAAATACACATTAATCAAATAATAAAATAAACAAATGTAAAACTACAACTGAATTTAATGATGTGAAGAACAGATAGAAGGTGTTATAAAAGTATCTAGTAAGGATGTGACCTAGTGAGGGGCAATATTTAAACTGAGTTCTTAAGGGTAAGTAGGAATTAACTAGGCAAAGAGTCCAGTAAGAGTGGGCTGGGCAAAAGGCAAAGCATGCTGAGTTCTTGCTGCAGGAAAGAGATGGTGAGTAAGCAAGACTAAAAGAAGGTCAATGAGGCTGGAGGGACAGAGGGCAAAGTGAGTCATGAGGCCAGAGAAGGGATGCAGGTGGCTATGCAAGGGTTCTGTGAGCTTGTTGAGGAGTTTTGTCTCCATCCTAAGGGTAATAGGGGGGAGCTCTGGTAGCATAGTGCCTAAGGCACTTGACTGCTAACCAGAAGGCTGGCAGTTCAAATCCACCAGCCACTCCTCGGAAGGAAGATGGGGCAATCTACTTCCATAGTGATACTGCCTCGGAAACCCAAGGAGGGGTCGCTATGAGTCGGGTGCAACTCGACGGCACATAACAACAACAAGGGTATTAGGGAATCACTAAAGAGTCTTAAGCAATGGTGGCTGGGCAGGTAGACATGTTGACACTTAAATTTCTGAAGAGTACCCTGGCTTTTATATGGAGAGAGGATCAGAGGGTACAGAAGGATTTGAGGAGATAGTAAGGAGGCCATTGTGGTAGGGCTTGACTGGGGAAGAGGGCTCTGTTTACAGTGAGAAGTGGAGAGATTGGAGAACTATTGAGAAGGTAGTAGTTAACAGATTTTAGTGACAGATTGGAGAGATAAAAAGATGCACACTTCATGGGATGCCTACCCAGGGACACAAACAGACTCACGGTCAGACATCCAGCTGTAGGGAGCCTCTATGAGCCTGTTTGCTTAAATATAAGCTGAGACTTGGTGAGCTTCTGCTTGAGCAAGAAGCGTGGAACTCAATGGCACACAAATGAGTTTTGTCCATTTTTTATAGTGTGAGGCTCCCTATTTACATCCTTCCATCTTGGCATTGAAAGACCTCTCGGGG